CCCCCCGCGCGGCGGCCCGGCCGCGCACTCACTCACCTTGCCCTCCACCTCCAGGCACAGCCCGCCCGCGATCTCCCGGATCTTGTAGATGTCGGAGAACAGCTCATCGTCTGGTCGGGAGCAAACAGCACCGGGAGTCGTCTGTCACTCAGGGCCGGCGCCAGAGGCCCGGGGCCGGCCCCGCCGTTTCTCGCGCCGGAGAGGCGCTCACGGCGCACGGCCTGGCCCCTGGCACCGGAGACCCGGGCGCCCCTTCTCCCAGGCACCGACTCCCCCTCCCTGTCCCCCGGAAAAGGCCGTCGCCCGGCGTGCCCGGCGTCTCCCGCCCGACCCCGCGTTCCCGGCCCAGCCCGGCGGCGGAGTCCGCCCGCCCGGCCCCCGCCCGCAGCCCAGTCCCGCATGTACTAGTAATAGGCATGGTAGAGCAATCACGACTCACGGCTGATGAGGTCCCGGTAGATGATCATGATGGCGGCTAGAGGGAGACGGCGGCGCTGGCTTCAGCGGGAGCTCGGAGCGAGCGCGGAGCAGCCGGAGCGGCGCTGGGGGGGAGGGGGGAGCGGGCGGAAGAGACCGGCGAGGCTGCTGCTCCACCTCATATAGAGGGCACGTCCCTGACGTCACCGCCCGCGGCGCCTCCGGAAACGCCGTGAGCGGTGACGTGGCACGTAGAGTCACGTGGGGGCGTGGCCACGGCGCGTGGGGCTGCGGCGGGGGGGGGAAACGGAGAGGACGGAGCATCCGGGAACTTGGTCCCGAGACTGAAAAGTGCATCTCCACTGCGCTGGGCGGCTGGGCCGGGGAGGGGGATTAGGGTGGGGGTGGGAGGGAGGGCGGGGGAGGAGACCGGTTTATTAGGGACTGCCCGTCGGGGTGGGGCTTAGATGCAATCTCGTCAGCTTCCCGCCCCACCCCAATTCACACCCTTTTCCGGGATCCGGAACCCCAGCTTGGGGGTGGGGGGGGGTGGCTGCATTTGACCCTCGAGGCCTGAGGGAGGCGCTGGGCTGGGCCCGGGTCCGGGCTAGGCCCGTGGGGACCTCTGGCCCCGGCCTCCGACCTTCCGCCCCGGGCCGCTGCACCTGCTCGGGCCTCCAGCTGGCCCCGGGGGGTAATCGAGGCCGGTTCTGGGGACCGGGACGGGGTGGAAGGACGCAGAATCGCTGTGTTCTCACAGCTTGGTCCCCTGTGGACATCCGGTGCGCGGTGGCAGACAGACGAAGGGCTCGCCAGCTGTTCTGTCAGGAACTCTGCCCTTTGTTTGCAAAAAGGGCTATGCTGTCAATTTGGGATAAAGTCGAAATTTTATCCGAGATGCTGGAGGATGGGTTAACCGAACTAAAGAGCTTTTCTCCTGCCCTCTTGTTACCCTGAAGGACTTGAGACCTAACTTTGGACTTGATTCCCCACACCAACCCCCACCCCTGCCCAATCCACACTTCTTTTTTTTCTTTTAAGTTTAAAGCAAAGATGATCCGACGGCGTTTTCTATTCCAAATATTTTTGTGCTCTTCTGTATCTCTAGCACTGGCTTTCAGTCCCATCTGTGAACAGCAAATGAAGTCCTGCATTCTTGTAAGTCCTGGAAACAGGTAATTATACACTGACAGTGTTTTATAAATCAGAGTAAGTAAAGAAAGTCTTGTGTCAGATCAGGGCTGTGTTGGCCCAGTAGCCTCCTCAATACTGGGATGATGGTCAAAATGAGATCTTGGGAAGATGTAGTGCTCTGAGGCTTTCTGAACACCCCAGAAAAGACAGAATAATTACGAGGAAGTCAAAAAAGAAAAAAAAAAAGTAAAGGGAATTTGAAAATAGACAGGTGACAGATTGAAGGATCTCTAGAACCTCTTAATCATTTCTAAGGTAAGTAAAAACAACACATTCTTGTAATTTTAACGTCCAGATTATTTTTTTAAATATTCCCCTTCCTTGGGGGGGGGCGCGGAGGAGGGGGAGGATGGGAAGGGGAAACAAAGGAGGAGGCTACAATGCTTGATAAAAAATGTACTCATTACCTTGCCCATGTAATTGTAACCCCTCTGTACAGTATTTTCACAATAAAAATTAAAAAAAAAATATTCCCCTTCGGTTTTACAGAATCTTCATTCTCTTTTTTCCCTCCCCTACAGTTTTATGTGAAAATAAAAGCTATTTTTCCTTGAGTTATATAATGATAGCCTTGGAGGAAAAAAAAAGTGCTGAAGTGTCCAAGAGTTCAGGACCTGAAATCTGGGCTTTCTCTGTCACTAGTCCTGTGACCTTGGGACAAGTAACCTCTCTAAGCTTCAGTGTGTGAGAATTAAATGAGATTGATGTCATCTAGGAATACAGATTCACTTTTTCTGTCCATTAAAGAGTTTAAAGGGAGTTGGGAATATGGCTTAGTGGTAGAGTGCTCGCCTACTCTGCATGAAGTCCTGGGTTCGATTCCTCAGTACCACATAACCAGAAAGAGCCAGAAGTGGCTCTGTGGCTCAAGTGGTACTATGCTAGCCTTGAGCAAAAGAAGCCCAGGCCCTGAGCTCAAGCCCCAGGGCTGGCAAAAAAAATAAATAAGGAATTTAGAGGCTGGGTACTGGTGGCTCACACCAGTAATCCTATCTACTGAGGGAGGCTGAGATCTGAGAATAGCAGTTCAAAGCCAGTCCGGGGCAGGAAGACTCTTCTCTGCAATAAACTACTCAGAAAAAGCTTGAAGTGGGGCACTGTGACTCACTGGTAGAGCGCTAGCCCTGAGCACAAAGAGCTCAGGGACAGCACCCAGGACCAGGGCTCAAGCCCTAGGACTGGCAAAAAAAAAAAAAAAAAAGCCAATTAACCAGGAGAAAGCTGGAATTGGAGGTGTGGCAAGTGATACAGCACCAGTCAGGATCAGAAAAAGTTGAGCAAGAGGCCTGGAGTTCAAGCTCCAGTACAAATAAATAGGTAAATAAGTGATCAGTAAATGTTGGTAGTGTTTGTATATATTGAAAGGTTAAAGTTTGAGGCAGTGACCACCACGTGTTGCTTGTTTCTGTCTAGCAAAGCAACACGTGGTGGTAATCAAAACACCTGGTTGATTGTGTGCCTATATAAGACCTGCAAATCCTTAGCTCAGGGCTCTCCTCCTAGGCTCCGCTGTGTCATGTAGGACAAGGCCCGAGCTGTAGAGTCTGACTCTCGGTGGTCTTCTTGCGGAGGGTCCTGCAACCATGGCATAACATATATAATTGTTCCCAAGTTTTATAATTCTTCACAATAGTCTGGAAATGATTAATTTTTTTTTTTTTTGGTTGGTTGTGAAGCATGTACTCAGAGCCTGGGCACTGAGCTTTTGTTTTTCAAGGCTAACACTCTACCACTTGAGCCACAGTGCCTTTTCCTGCTTTTTTTTATGTGGTACTGAGAAATCAAACCATGGGGCTTCATACATGCTAGGCGAGCACTCTACCAGTAAGCCAAATTCCCAGCCCTGATGAATTCTTATGCTATTTGGAGACTTTGTTGATACATGTTCACTACGGATTTTTTTTTTTTGGGGGGGTCAGTTGTGGGGCTTGAACTCTGGTGCTGTTTCTGAGCTCATCAGCTCTAGGGTAGCACTTCTACCACTTGAACCACAGCACCACTTCTGGTTTTCTGGTGGTTAATTGGAGATAAGAGTCTCATGGACAGACATTCCTGCCCAGACTGGCTTTGAACAGAAATCCTCAGATCTCAGTCTCCAGAGTTGCTAGGATTACAGGTGTGAGCCACCGGAGCCGGCCCTAAGGATATTCTATTAATCATAAACTCTAATCTATCAGATCACTGAAAGGATTCAGTTGCATCCTGAAGAGATTTCAGTCTCAAGTCCCTATCTGATGGCAATTCAGTGACTGCATGCTCTAAAAAAAGTTTCAGGACCATTTCTTGTGAATTTTAGGATATTTTAACATCTTTTGGTCTAGAAAATACCTACTTAAAAATCAAGAATAAACTGGTTGGGGTGTGGTTAATAATGAATGGCAAACTGCTACTTACCAAATGACAAAGACTTGGATTTTATTTAAGTCAAGTAACTTCTATTTTGGTATGTTATAATCTTTTTTTTTTCTTTTCTTTCTTTTCTTTTTTTTTTGCTGGTCATGGGTCCCTGAACTCTGGGCCTGGGTGCTGTCCCTCAGCTCTTCAGCTCAGGCTAGTGCTCCACCACTTGAGTTACAGCACCACTGCCAACATTTTCTGCTTATGTGGTGCTAAGAAATGGAACCCAGAGCCTCATGCATGCAAGGCAAGCACTCTACCACTGAGCCACTTTCCCAGCCCCGTTATACTCTTTTGTTGTTGTTGTTGGTCATGGGGCTTGAGCTCTGGGCCTGATAATCTTTTTTTATATCACTTCCTTGCAATGACTTTTGTTTGTTTTTCGAATATGGTCTTGATACAAAGCTTAAGTAATCCTCTTGTCTTAGCTAAGAGCTTTGATTACAGGCATGTAATTAAATCATGCCTACTTCAAGAATACCATTGATTTATGATGGCAAACTTCTAGCTGAGGAGCTGTATTATAGAAAGCCAAGAATGGTTTGGTTAATAATTAGGTAGAGGGATTTGGGATGCATATATGAATTGGACAGAAGGGAGTCAGAAATGAGCCAACCAAACTGGACTACTTCTAGTATATATGTCTGAACCCATTCATTAACATGATTCAATTTTTTTTTTTTTGGGTTGGTTGTGGGGCCTGAACTCTGGGCCTGGGCACTGTCCCTCAGCTCTTCAGCTCAAGGTTAGTGCTCTACCACTTGAGCCACAGCACCACTTCTGGCTTTTTCTGCTTTATATGGTGCTGAGGAATGGAACCCAGGGCCTCATGCATGCGAGGCAAGCACTCTACCACTGAGCCACCTTCCCAGCCCCATCAATTCTTTTTATTTGTGTTCCAGTGCTCAAACTTGAACTCTCGGCACTGTCTCTAAGCTTTTTGCCCAAGGCAATGGTGCAACACCTCTATTTCCAGCTTTTTGGAGATAAGTCTCTTGGATTTGTCTGCCCAAGCTGGCTTTGAAATGCATTCCTCTGATTTCAGCCTCCTAGCTCCTCAGCTCAAATTACAGGCCTGAGCCACCAAGGCCTGGTTGAATTTTAGAATATTAAAGGAAATTGGAATTTTGAAATGATGAGCCAGGAAATGAGTTTTATGATGAGGAGAAATTCTAAGGAGAAAGTTACAGAGCAATATGCAAATATGTATCTTTTCTTAAAAGGAATGTGGATATTATTAAACTTAGGTTCTAATGTGAGTTTGTCAATTTTATTTTGTCAACAAAGCTCATCAGATGAGCAACCACATTATATGCAGATATAATTTCTAAATAATAGGCTAACTTTAAACTGAATACATTTCATTACATGAAAATTTACTATATTGTCATTTTTCTTGATTTTGCTCTTTTTTTCTCCATCTTTTTATTGGTGTGTTTGGGTTTCTTACATATTTACACCCAGCACAGGTAGGAAGACTGATTTCCAAAAGGACATGAGAAGGATCCATTATATAGAATTTCAGCTTCCCATCAGGGCCTTTAGATGAATAAATGCTTGAATACAGCTGGATGCTTTTAAATTCTTCAGAATTAAGGATTTTTAAAACAAACAACTTCTTTTTTTTTTTTTTTTT